CCGTTCATGCCAGGCCAATAATAACGCTAGCAAATTCATACAATCGTTTTTGCAATGCCCAGCTGTCGTGACATCGTGATTTTCGTGTAAAACTTGTCGTCCTAATGGTTGTAGTAAACACAATTTCCAAGCTTTTTCCGTTCAGTGAAATTTAGACTATGGTGCATATGTCTATATAATAACCCGTCTTTCACTAAAAAATTGGGATAGCGATCCGGATTCGTGATCACTGTTTTTAATAAATTTCGGTACCACTCACATTGATCGTCTGTTATCGGATCTCGTGATAACGTATCGGTAACGTGATTTGATTTACCCTTTCTATATTTAATTGAAAAATCAAATTGTTGAAGGTATACACTCCAACGCGCGATACGGCCAGTGGGACTGGATAACGTTTGTAACCATCTTAAAGAAACATGGTCAGTTATAACCGTAAAAGAATAACCAGCGACTAGCACTTGCTATGACAACTTCATTCCCGTTTTGTTCTTGGGTTAAAACCGCTTCGAGTCTATACTGGCTGGCGTCAGTTTGGAGACAAAAAGGAACCGTGAAATCTGGCGCGGCGAGAACTGGTGCCGTCGACAAACGTTCCTTTAGAATCTCTAAAACTTCAGCCTGCTCGGATCCCCATTCCCATTGACGTTTCTTCCGGAGAAAAGGTGTCAATGATTGTCAATGATTGATAACTCCCATGAAACGTCTCAATTTCATTATATTTTCTGGAGTTTTAAATGCGAGGATAGATTTGACTTTATGTGGATCCGTATGGATTCCAGATTCGTCAATTACGTGTTATATGTTACCAAATAATATATTTTATTAACGTTTTGTTGATTTTTTATTTGTTTAAATAATTTATTATTAATAATTTATAACTTTCTCAAATGTACATAGACAGTAGCAAAATTTTATAAATTTCTTACTTTTTCGTCGAAGATATTAATTTAAAGGTTATAAATAAAATAAAATATATAATTAAATTTACAATAACTATTATTATAAATTGTTTAAACAAATAATTGGTGCTATTTATTAACTTTCTTGTGGTGCACCTGGAAAGATGCAGTTTTTTCCTAAATTGGCAACTTAACAATCATAATATAATAGCATGAAGTTTTAAACAATTTATTGTGGTTATTTATTAACTTTTTTTGTATTTTACTGCATATGTATTTCTAGGTGCAATAGAAGAAAACTTAGTAAATAACAACGATAAATTGTTTAAACAATTGTTGAATTAATAATTTTACACCAAATCTATGTTTTATTATATTCGGCTAGATAAATTGCAAAATTAGAAAAAAAATGCATCTTTCTAGGTGCAGAAGAAAAAATATTATTTGAAAACATAAAACACTTACAGTGAAAAGTCTGGATGATTTCAAGTCTTTTTGTAAAATAGAATGAAAAAAATAAATTTAAAAATCTCCGTACATTATAAGATATTGTGTTATATTATAAAAAAAACCTAACTGATACCAGAGAAAAATTAAATACTACAGGGTGGTCGCCGTTTAACGTGTGTGGCTCTCGCGCGGCAGTGCGAAAATATTTATTTTACTTTTAGAAAATTTGTTGCTTGTTTTCCATATTATAGGACTTTTTCCTATAATTATTCGGTAGATCAGCTGTTTATTTTCTTATTCACTTCTACTTTTATAAATGAATAAATGTCATCTATCGTTTTGAAGTATAATATTTTGGCGCCAACGGCTCTTATTCTCATGTTATTCTCTTCATCCTCTTCAACCTCTTCTTTTATTATCTCATCAAAATTTGGAAATATTTCCATCATTCCTGGGGCTAATTGTGCCAATTGTGATTTAATCAGCCTATCATCTACCGACCAAAGTCTACTTAAAATCCCCCACCCCATATTTATATCGTTGATTCTTCCTTTTATGTGAAATTGAAATTTTGTGTCTTACATATAAGTAATAAATCTATGAATGATTTCCTTTTCCCAGTACATATTATTATTGGGCACAATATCTGTTTATCCTAGTTTAACGATATTCTTCTTTATATTTAAAATTTTATACACGGAGAGAAATTTCTAGGAATATTTACCGTGCAGCATAGTAAAAACTGACAGAATGTACTTTGCACTCACTTTCAGGTGGCAGCACGGTAAATATTACTAGAAATTTCTTTCCGTGTATAATATGTAAAAAATATTGTCCTTGTTAACATGAATGTGGACATAATTGTTTACATCATATACCCAGAACACATCTTCTATTCCTGTATTAAATAGCATTAAATTGGTCCTTATGTAATGTCGTTCATTTATTTTGTCGATAACAGGCCACCCTGCAAAATTGACCAATTCGCTTGCCAATATGAATTTATATCCCGCGTCGTACTTAGAATAGAACTCGTTGAGTTCGGACATTAGGTATTCATGAGATGTTTCTTTTTTTTTTGGTTTTTATAACACCGAAAGGATTTCAAGAAAAAATTATGCAATTTTCTTACTTTCGTACTAATGTTTTTGACATCCGGCATAATCTAGAATAATGTATGAAAAAATTTGACAATTTTACAACATAATCTTTAGGGTCTTAGCTTTAATTTGCATTTTTGAAACCTAAAAAATGTTTTGTGGTTCCTGAAATATGTTAAAAAAGTTCCGAGCATGTTTTTCTTCAAGTCAGCCGTCAATCATCACTTTTCGCCGCCTCGCTGCTGGGTTGTAGAAACACATACTTAAACATTTTTTAACATATTTCAGGAACTACAAAACATTTTTTTAGTTTCAAAAAATCAAATTAAAGCCAAGATCTTAAAGATTGTGTTAAAATTTGAAAAAATAAAAAATGTTTTGTAGTTCCTGAAATATGTTAAAAAATGTTTAAGTATGTGTGATGATTGACGGCTGAGTTGTAGAAAAACATGCTCGGAACTTTTTTAACATAGTTCAGGAACCACAAAACATTTTTTAGGTTTCAAAAATGCAAATTAAAGCTAAGACCCTAAAGATTATGTTGTAAAATTGTCAAATTTTTTCATACATTATTCTAGATTATGCCGGAAGTCAAAAACATTAGTACGAAAGTAGGAAAATTGCATAATTTTTTCTTGAAATCCTTTCGGTGTTATAAAAACCAAAAAAAAGAATAAAAATTTCTTGATATACATTCAGAAGCAGAATTTTATCAGCTTTCCAACCATCTAAGTTAGAAGTCTTTAACTTTTTTCTAACTTGAAATATCTTGCTTTAAAGTCAGCGCCGAATTGATCATTCGAGTTGTCACTGTCGATGCGATTTTCCCATTAAAGCTCTATGTAAAAATTGAATTTACTTTGACCTACCCTTAAGAAACTTTTAAATCGTTCAATTTTCATTTCATCGAAATTGCAAATGGCTGAACAAACAATCGACAGAAAGATTTAGTCGCAAATTTTAAAGTTGGCCATTAAGAAAATGCCAAGAAAATTGTGATTAGTCATTTTTAAAATACACTCCTAAATCTTTCTGTCGGTTGTTTGTTCGGCTATTTGCAGTTCTGATCAAATGAAAAATTCTACGTTTTAAAAGTTTTTTGAAACTGCAATTCCATCAAATGGAGTTTTGGTGAAATGGAAATTCTGCTTTCTGAAAATTAAGCTAAGTACATAGAAATTCATTTTAGAAAAATTGTTTAAAATAAAAATTCTTCTTCCTGAAAATTTGGTTGAATAAGAGTAAGTTAGATAACAAAATCTTAAAATATAAACTATTTTTAAAAAATGATGAAATGTAAAGGGAGTTGAAGTTTAAAATTTTTAATTAACATTGTAATTTTTACATCCGTATGACTTGTACAAAACTTTATGGATTGTAATTTGTCAATAAGATTTTTTTGTTGGGTTAATTTTGAACAAAAATTGGCATTGAAAACTACATAAAAAAAAACCCTAATGACAAATTAAAATTCATAAAGTTTTGTAGAAGTTATACGGATTAGAAAATAACAGTGTTACTTAAAAACTTATAACTCTAACCCTCTCTACTATTTATAATTTTTTTGAAAGTGAGTTTATATTTAAAAATTTTGTTACTTTCATCTAGAATAACAATTTACCAAAGTATTAAGTCAATCTCAGAAATCTTTTTTGGGGTGGCTTTTTTCAGAGAATGCCTTATATACTAATAAATTTTCTTACAATTTTTTTTTTAGAAATTTTTGTTAAACGGTGAAACTATCGTAAAATAATTAATTTCTGTTTCTATTAACTACGTAGTTAGAGTCGATCTCCCCCTTCCTCTAATCTGGCTACATAGCTTAAGAATTCTCCTATAAAATCTACTTTAAAAAATTTCCTTAAATAGAAATTCGATAATTTTTAATTCAACACCGCTAAAATTCTTAAAAATTCAATGTGAGAAATATTAATTTTTCCCAAAATTTAAGAGACGCATGATTATATTCTAAAAATTATTAGTTAAAATTGTCATTTTGTGGAATTTTATTTGACATAATTACTTTTGTGTCTAATTTTTATTTGTTTGAATTAGTTCGAATTTGTTTGTTCGGCCATTTACAATTTCGGACAAATAAAAATTCTATCAATTAGAAATTCCGTTAAATGATTTCTCAGTTAAGTAAAAATTTTGTAGTATGAAAATTATATTAAATAATAATTAAAATAAAAAATGAAAATTCATCTGAAAAAAAATTCTTTGCAATTCAATTCTATACAATAAAAATTCTTTAAAATGCCTATTATGTTAAATGAAAATTCGAGCAAATAAAAATTCTGACAAATAAAAATTCTGTGAAGTGAATTTTCGGTTATATAAAAATTCTGTAATATAGATAATCGTTTTGATGAAAATTCTGCAAAATACTAATTAAAACAAATAAAAATTTGTCTCAAAAATAATTATAACAAATGAAATTCCATGAAATGAAAATTCTAATTAATGATTTTTAGAACATAATCATGCGTCCCAAATTTTATTATCTTGAATTATAAAATATCAAAGAATGTTCATCTCTTTATTTTAGGTGGATCTAGTTCATCATCATAGGTTAGTATGTCACACCACAGCGATGATAATATGCTAATAGCATCAACAGATTCCTTTTGGGAACCTGGGAATTATAAGCGTACTACAAAAAGAATTGAGGATGGTCATAAATTATGTGACAGTTTAATCCAACTTGTCCAAGAGAGATCAGAAATAGAGAAAAATTATGCGAAGTCACTAAAAAGTTGGTCAAAAAATTGGAATGATAAAATTGAAAAAGGTCCTGAATATGGTACAACTGAAGCTGCATGGAAGGGAGTTTTAAATGAATCTGACAGATTATGCGATTTACATCTAAAAGTTAGAGATAATCTTTGCAATGACATAATACAACAAGTGAAGACTTGGCAGAAGGATGCTTATCACAAGGTTAGTGAAAGGAAATTTTTTTAAATTCTTCTGAACTTGTTCTATATAGTCACTGTAATAATCTATAATTTATAATTAATGGATATAATTTTGTGAAATTAATATGAATTTTTTGTCATTAACGAATTTTGAAAGAAAAAAAAAACTTCCAATACTTCAGGGAGCATGAAATTCTCATAAAAATACATAATTACAATTTTCATTTTAAAATAATTTATTATTAACTAGCAAAATTAAACGCTGTCCAAATTGACTATTTAATTGTTTGTTATAAAGAAATTAAAGATTAATATTATCAATAATAATTTAATTTATTAGAATATTATTACATATTAAACGATAATAATGAAAATTATATGTTTACAGGCCTCGAATTATACGACTTTTTCCGACTTTTTTCAAAAATACGACTTTTATCGACTTATTTTAATAAAATGCGACATTTTTTTTTACATTTGAAAAAAAATGTAAATAAAATACATTTTTTTAGTATAAAATGTAGATCTTCTTCAGATCTTCTTCAATTCAATTATTTAACAAATTTTGTACTAAAATGATTCTTCACTAAATTAATTATTTTTAATAATTTTAATGAAATACATCACCAATTCAATTATATCAAAATTATTTTTTCAATTAAAATTTTTATGAAATTTAACAATTGTTTATAATTTAAAAAAAATATCACAATAAAATTGAATTATTTTTTAAAAATTTCAATTCAAAATAAACTAAAATTCAATTATTACCCGAAATTTTAATTCAAAATCAATTAAAAATCCAATAATTATCCAAAATTTTCAATTTAAAATTTAATTGTTTACCAAGTTTTCAATTTAAAATGAAATAAAATTCGATTATTTTCTAAAATTTCTATTTAAAATTAATTATTTAAATTTTCAATCAAAAATGAACTTAAATTAAATTATTATCCAAATTTCAATTAAAATTCAATTATTTCCCAAACTTTTCAATTCAAAATTTAATTATTTACCAAGTTTTCAATTTAAAATGAAATAAAATTCAATTATTTTCTAAAATTTCTATTCAAAATTAATTATCCAAATTTTCAATCAAAAATGAACTTAAATTAAATTATTATCCAAAATTTCAATTAAAATTCAATTATTTCCCAAAATTTTCAATTCAAAATGAACTGAAATTCAATTATTTTCCAAATTTAAAATCAAATAAAATTTCATTATTCTCAAAAATTTAAATTCAAAATTAATTGAATTTTCAATAATTTGAATTTAAAAGCATCTAAAATTTAATTATTTCTAAAATTTTCCATCGAAAATTTTTTTTTTGAAATTTAAAAATTTCAATTATAACTCTAAGGAAATTCAATTATTTTTAACTATTTTAATAATATTCTTTGAAAATTCAACTATCTGAAACCATTTTTCAATTAAAAATGATTTTCAAATTATTGTATTTTGTCCGCATTTTCTAATAAATTTTTAGTGAAATCATCTAAAATTTTAATTTCAAAACACTTAAAGTTTCAATTAATTTCAAAATTCTCAATTTTAAATCTTTGAAAATACAATTAAATATAAAAAATGTTTTCCAAAAATTGTTTGATAAATTATTTTTAGTTCTGTAAAATTTAATAATTGTTTGAAAATTAACAATATCTTTTGAAATTTAATTATTTCTAAAAATTTCAACTTTAACCCTTCGAAAAGGATTATTATTAAAAAAAAAAAATTTTATTTAAAAATCTGTAAAATATTTTTGTTAAAATAAAAAACAAATTCATTTGTTTTTGGAATATAAATCGACTGAAACGACTTTTTGTGTCTTTAAGTTGATTCGAGGCCTGTGTTTTTATAATTAATATTTAATAGGTATTCGTTGGTCCCTGGTACCTTAAAAATTAATTTTTAAAAATAAATTTTTTTAAATTACTATCTTGTACTATTCAAAAAAACACGCGAGATCAGAAAAAGCCAACTTCAAGTTAGGACAGAATGACAGACCAAGCATTTTATTATTATATAATTATTTTTTCGACAAATTTTCAATTTTCGAATTCAAATTTCACAGATTTATTTTTTTATACAAATTTTTACATAACAAAATTTTTAGCTACCAAATTTTTGTTTGACAGTATTCTTATTTTACGATCATTTTCCTTACATAACTTTATATTTAAAAGAATTTTAATTTAACAGAATTCACATTCATTTTTAAATGACAAAAATTCCAATTCAAGGAAATTTAATTTGTACGAATTTTTAATTGATAGAATTTTTAAAATGCCGAAATTTCATTTGTCCAAAATTACAAATGGCCAAATAAACAATTGACAGAAAGATTTCGGCGAAATTTTTTTGTCAATTGTTTGTTCGACCATTTGTAATTTCAAATAAATAAAAATTCGGCGTCATAAACATTCTATCAATGATAAATTTGGATAAATAAAAATGGAGTTGAAAATGAAATGGAGTTTCTGTCATTTAAAAAATCGAATGACATAAAATTTTGATTGAATGAAAATTCTGTTAAATAAAAATTCTTTGAAATAAAAAGTCGTGTAAATTAAATGACTGTAAATTAGAAATTTTGACAAACAAAAATTGGGTAATTAAAAATTTTGTTAAGTAAAAATTAATATAAAAAGAAATTTTATCAAATGCTAATTCAAAAAACTTTACAATAAAGTGTTTAACAAATTAATCGTTTTACAGTCAATGATGACATTAAAGGAACGAAAGGAAATGGAAGATGCTTTTAAGAAAGCTCAGAAACCATGGGGAAAAATTTTGCAAAAAGTGGAAAAAACTAAGGCGGAATATCATAATAGTTGCAAAATTGAACGTACGGCAACAAATGTTGAAAGGAATGCAACTGCTGATAGTTCACTCTCACCAGATCAGGTAATATTTTAATTTATACAATTATTTTTTTAATACATCGTATAATTTCTAATTTATTAAAGATTTTTTTTTTAATTTAATTTAAATAAATTAAAAATTTCAGTTTCTTTGAAAAATACGAATAAAATTAAATTTTGTATATTTTACAAGACGGTTTTCGGTTTGATGAAATACAAAATTTCTTTTGTATTTTTCAAGAAAAAAAATTTTCATTCTGTGAAAAATTAATTTTAAAATAAGTTTAAACAATAATAAGCTCTTTTTATTAGATTTATGTAATTAAAGTTTTTATAAAACATTGAAAATAACATTAAAAAAAAAATTAATTACTATACTGGGAAAATCTCTCCTTGAAATCTCATCTTATCATCTTTTGGAAAAAATGTTGGTTTCTATACTTTCTATGTTTTAATATGTTTTTTATTTATCAAGAAAATGGGTGGTTTCAAAATTTTCACTGGTAGTGTAATTTAAAACAACTTTAAAGCATTTTGGTTAAGGAAAATATACATTTATATTTTATTCTATTTTAACCCTTTTTTCAAACAAAATTTCCCCTATTCCCCTTTTTTCAGCAATTTTTATGCTGTTGAGCCTGTTACCTTTATCGTGAAATTACGTATTATCTTCTTTCTCAGTTTGTTGATTTTCAAAGAGAAATATTTTTGTAACAGGTAAAGAAGATGCAAGACAGAGTGCAAAAAACTAAGAGTGAAGTACAAAATGCTAAGGAAAAATACGAAGCGGCTCTACAAGAAATAAATTCTTATAATCCAAAGTACATGGAGGATATGACTCAAGTCTTTGAGAAATGCCAAGAAATGGAAGCTCAAAGACTTAAATTTTTCAAAGACGTACTCTTTGGCATTCACAAGTGTTTGAATATTTCTCAAGATCCAGAGTAAGTTTTTATTATAATTATTTTATTAATATTAATTGTAAGTGTAAATATTTTAAATGTGTTTTAAGATTAATTTAATCCTGAAATCTGGATCTCTGATTTGAATCAAGAATCCAAAACCAGTAATGAAAATAATTGAATTAAAAGCAATAATAATTTATTTATTTCACAAAGTTTGAAATAATAGATAAAATTTTATAGTTTGAAAAAAAAATCTTGCAAAATAAATAATAAATATAAAAACATATTTTAAAGTTTTCCATGTTAGAAAATTTGTCGTTTTTTCTTTATATGAGTAAATTTTTTCTTTTTTAGACTTCCTCAAATCTATGAAGAATTTTATCACACAGTCAACAATGCGGATCATGAAAAAGACTTGAAGTGGTGGTCTAATAATCATGGAGTAAATATGGCCATGAATTGGCCACAATTTGAGGTGAGTGTTACTATTATTTTAAATTATTACGAATATTTTCTTTTGTGCAAGTATTAAAATACTCGTTAGTGTAAAAATAAAATACATTGATGACTGTACAATTGATAATGAGTGAAAATAATAACAAAATTAATTCTTCAATACAAATTTCAATATATTATTATTATTATTACAAGCTGAAAATTTATATATCTAAAATATTAAAACAATCTAGTATATTTTTAAAATGCCAATTTTTTTTTAAATCAATTTTTAAGACATAAGATTTTCTAAGGTTCTTATGGTCGTTGGTTATAAATCTGATTTCATATTTACGAAATTTAAAACAACAGTTCCTATAGAAACTATGATTCAAAATTTTTTTTTTGTAAATTAAGCTATATAGAAATTCCGTTTTAGGAAAGTTTCGTAAAATTAAAATTTATTAGAATAAAAATTCTTTTTCGTAAAAATTCGGGTAAATGAGAGTTATATTACATAAAAATTCTGTTCAATGTAAATTCAATGAAATGAAAATACTTTTGCGTAAATATTTGAATAAGTAGTAATTCGATTAAAGAAAGACTTCTGTTAAATGAAAATTCGATGACCTAAAGTGTCTGTTATGTAAAAGTTCAACTAAATAAAAATTGTTTTGTTTTGAACTTAAGCTTAAATATGTTATCTTTTAAAAAAAAAGAATAATTCAGGGAATCTTCAATTTAACAGAATGTTTATTTGATAAAAATCTTAAAACCTCAATTTCCATTTTTATCCGAAATAGAAAGTTTTCTTGATAATTTCTGATTGGTGAATTATAAATTTGCGACGAAATCTTTCTATTGCAGTGTTACAACTAAAAATGATAATTTTTGAAATTTTCAATTCATATTTTTGCTTTTAAAAATTATTCTCTAAACTTTTTATAATTGAAAACTTCTTGAAATAATTTTATTAGGGTTAATAACAAAATTTAAATCTTATCTGGAAATTAGAGAAAATTCAGGGGAAAATAAAATCAAATTTTTGTGGCAACCCTGCGTGTCGGTTTTTTGTTTGGCCACTTGTAAATTTGGTCAAAATAAAATTTTGCAGTTTGAAAAAAAAGTTGAGGTTTGATTCATAATCAACGACTCCTAAAACACTTAAGTAACGAATTTCTAGAGAAATACGTGATTTTTTTTTTAAATTTCATATTTCATACATCTAAGGTCTGATTGTGTTGAAGAAATAATTTCGACCCTTTTAATATAATTTTTTTTATTATTGTGTGCTAATAAAAATTATTTGATCGCACTTTTTTTTTTTTTTTTTTTTTTTTTGAGTGATAGATAAAAATTTTAGACTTTCTTTAGCTGCAACCACATTTAAAAAAATTTTAAGAAAGAAGGTTAGATTTTACCAGGAACTTAACTAAAAATATGGAGGCCTAATTTTTTTTTTTAATTTAAAAATTCAAATTCAAAAAACTTTTTATTCTTTACATTTAATTTTATAAAGTTCTTTCCTGCTGAGGCCCTCTCGTATTGAGGGGTTTATCTATATGGTAGTTACGTGCCTTTATTTATTCTATATGAATGCTATACTTATTTATCTCAAATAATTTCTTTCTTATCGTAACTTTTTTTGAATAGTATTTTTTATTATTATTTATTTATTTATTTTATTTATAATTTTAATATATCATTGTTTGTAGATATATATTAATACAAAAAAAGGGTTTCAAGAAAAAACATTATATTTTGCCATATATGGTTTGCATTATTTTTAAAAAATAAAATTTATGTTTATTATTTTATTTTCACTGTTATTATAGTAATTTTTCGTTAACAATTAAGTAAAATTAGAGATTAGATATTTTTCTCTCTTTCATCTAATAGTTATTGGATGAATATGAATGCTTTTTGAATTGTTAACAAATATTATGTTATTCATAGTTATCTGATGTATCTAATGGACTTTTTTTTATATTTATTAAATCTTTATACATTAGATAGAATTTGCCATATTATGTAGATATATTTTTTTAAAATGATTTTTTACTTTTTGTTCGCAAATGAAAATTCAAATGTCAAGACATTTTTTTATTCTGCAATATTTTATCTAATTTCGAGAAAAATTGCTTTTAAAAAACGAGGGTCTATTGTATTACAATCATCAATTTTCACTTTAAAGCTTTTTATTAGAACTAATTATTTTTTAGTCGAATTTGAATTTTTCAAAATAGCATTTTACAAAATTTCTTTTTAAACAAATTCTTACTTGACAAAATTTTATCAAAATTTAAAATATATTATAATATTATCAAAAGCTTCATTCAACAGAATTTTCAGTGATTCTAATTGTTAAATGCCAGAATTATAAATTAACAAAATCTTTATTGGTCCGCATTTTAATTTGTTCAAATTTTTATTTGAAAACATTTTTAAAACGCTGAATTTCCATTTGTACGAAACTGCAAATGACCAAAAAACAATTTGACAGTAAGATTTGGTGCAAATTTTATAATTAACCAATCAGAAATTATGTAGAAAATTGTGATTGGTTAATTTTAAAATTCGCGTCGAAATCTTTCTGTCGTTTGTTCGTCAGTCATTTACAATTTTGGACAAATGAAAATTTTGCATTTTAAGAATTTTATCAAATAATAATTCGTGGAAATAAAAATTAGGATAAATGAAGATTCGGTGAATTGAAAATTTTGTCTTTTAAAAATTCAAATCACTTTAATTTCTGATGAATGAAAACTCTGCTTAACTAATATTCGGTTAAATTGGAATTTTTTAAGTGAAAAATAGGCTGTAGAGAAATTCTGTAAAATAAAAATTCTGTTATCAAAAATTCGGTATCTAAAAAATTTATTAATTAAAAATTCTTTTAAAAAGAAATTCTGTCAAATATATTAATTTGAAAAAATGATAATTCGTTAAAAAAAATAATTAGATATATATTAAAAATTTCCATCGAAAAATTAATTTTGTAAATTGATAATTCCTCTAATCAATAATTATATATTTAATAAAATTTGTCAAAATTAAAATTTTACCTAATTATTTTTATGGAAAAATTGTGCACCTCTATAATGTCTGTAACAGTAAATTTATTTTAATTAAATGCGAAAAATGTCTTAAAATATATATTTTTAACGCTTTTTTAGGCGAAAATTTAGACTATTTACATAATTTTTATCATAACTATTCTATTGGTGTTTTTTATTTAAAAAAAACTTGTTTAACATTCTAAATATATACAATTTTTTAGAAGTTTAAAATTTGTTGAAAAATTTTCCTTGACATATATTATATGTCTATCAAATATTGATAAAAAAACTGTTTTTAATTAAATATATTTTTCACCACTCTATATATTTCTCTATATTTAAGCTAATGCCAATATAAATAAAATCAGACTTTTTTCAGTAATTTTAACTTGTTAAAACTTAACAAAAAAAAAAATGTAAATTAGATTTTTAATAATTGTGAAGATTACATGGAGAAAGAAGTCGTAAACTTTATTTATGTTGTTATTAATTAATTTTTTCAATCAATTGTAGTTATGAAATGCAAAATAGTTAAAAGTTGTGCATTTTCAATTTTCTATTTATATATAACATTTTCTATATCTTTAAAAAAATGTAGAACTCATAAATATTCCCCACATTGAAATAATAAAAATTTTTGCGGTGTTGAATTAAAAATTATCAAATTTCGATTTATCAGAATTTTTAAAAATAGATTTTTCTATTCAATCGAATTTGCATACAAAACAAATTTTTATTTATCCGAATTTTATGTAAAAGAATTTTTATTTCGACGAAAAAGAAAATCTAACCATTTATAAATTCGCCTGATTAGAAATTCTGTTAAATAATAATTTGTTCGAATGAAATTCGGTTAAAAATTAATATAGTTAAATAAAATACGATTAAGTGAATATTCGGATAAATAGAAATTATATTGAGAAACAATTTTGTTAAATTAAAGCTCTCTTTTGTGGAAATTTGAATAAATATAAATTCTCTTAAACAAAAAATAAGTTGAATGAAAATTTTTTGAATTAGAGAATCTACTTTGCAAATTTTGGCTAAATAAAAAATTTTACGATAAAAAAATTCCTTTGAGTTTTAATCTTTATTTCATAAAATTCTGTTAAAATATATAAATTCGATGATTTTTAATTCGACACCTCGAAAATTCTAATAAGTTCGATGCGCACAATTGTTCCCTAAAAATCATTACCTCGAATTTTTATAGTAAACAATTTTATTAGATTTAATTATTTTTCAGTCGAATTTTCATTTTTCTAATTAATATTGAATATAGAATTTCTTTTTGAACTAATTTTGTACTTCACATCATTTTTAGGTAATTTTTATATAGCAAAGTGTTAAGTTGTTTAATGAAAAATTTTGCATAATAAGAATTCTAATAAATAAAAATTCGTTAACTAAAAATTACGTAAAGTTAAAATTTGTTTAAAAAAAAAATTTCCGCAAGTGACAATTTGAAAAAAGAAAATTAGACTAAAAAATAAATATTATCCAATAGAATTTTTTAAAATGAAAATTGTAAATTATGATTTTTATGAAATAATTATGCGCACAATAAGTTGAATTTAGGAAATATTCAAGTGTTGAAAAAATTTTCAATATAGTGAATTTACTGACAAATATAACAATACTTATTAAAATGCCTGCTCGTGTTATTTAATTTTGTTTTTTTTACTGAAAATTTTTTTTTAATTGCATATCTTTATATTTTTTATTTAACTAAACACTTTAACATATAGATTAGATATTAAAGGAATGTATGCATGTGATTTGTGTGTTCATTGGTATTATGCAGGATTACACGGAGGAGTTCCGAGACATCACGAAGGGTGCTAAATCAAAGGAATCTTTACCAGCAGGTTCTATCACTCTCATCAATCAACGACCCGTTGGAGAGGATTCGCATGTAATATTTTTTTTGTTTACTATAATTGTTTAGGAAAAAAATAATTTTTTACATTATGTTACGTGATTCATATTTTATATATGTATATATATATATATATTACATTAATTTATGTTCGTTTTAAAGTCTTGGCACATGTTTTTTTCATCTTTTTTTCAAATTTATAGCTTTCATAAATAGATATTTTTTAGTTTTAAATGGAATCTTAAAAAAAATTGTCGATAACGCTTACTGCTTGTAGAAATTCAAACCCGATGAAATTGACTTTAATTGTAGGTAACAGTGTTTGAAATTAGAAAACTAGAATTTTAGAAACAAAGTTTTTTTTTTTACATTTTCAGTGCAATCAAGAGTTTGGAGATTACTACCAAAAAATAAAAAAATGTTATACTTAAATTTGAGGATTTAAATTTACAAAAAAGAATTTAATATTATTATGTATTTGAATTTCTAATACGTTTACGGCATGAGTAGTAAATTTAATTTAATATGAAATTATTTTATAAACTTTCATATCTTTAGATATTTTTTATCATAATTATATAATTTTTTTCTTTATATGTAATTTTATTTTATATCAAAAATACTACCTAGTTATGAACAAAAATTAAAAAATGTTGATAATTATTATTTTACTCCGTTTTCAATTAACTTTGATTAAAAAAATGAAAAAAAATGTTTTTAGAAAAAATGTTACATATTTAAATACAAATTTTAATTTTTAGAATTAAAAATCGATGAAAAATTGTTGATAACAACAATTTTTTAGTGAATCGATCAAAATTTGTGGAGGTGCAAGAAGTTAGAAACGCCATTTTGTTTTTGAAAAAAAAAATAATTCTATTAGCAATTTTGTGCTAATTTGTGTTACAAACATTTTTTGTTAAAAAAATAATAATTAGGACAAAAATTTTAAAAAGAAAAAAAAACATTGTTCAAGACCAAAACAAAAAGGAATTCTCACAATATTCAAAATCTTTAATAATAAATTAATTCCAAAAAATTCAAATTTAAATTTAAAAAACGATTTTTTAACACACAATTATTAAAAAATTATTATTTTATAGCTAAAAAATTTTCAAAATAATTCAATTTAAAAATGAAAAATACATTTTTTTATTTAGAAATATTCAAAAAAATTTAAATTGAATTATTTGGAAAGTTTTTAATGTTTCGTAAATGTTTTAATTGTTTCTTTTTATGCTGGAATATCACAATTCAACAGAAAATTTGTTTTATAAAAATAGTACATAATTTTTGAATATTTCTTAGATAAAAACCTATTTTTAAATTTTATAATTGAATTATTTTGAAATTTTTTTTTTTGTAAATTTTATGATTGTTTTTTTTCTGCTCGACTATTCAGTAGAAAATTTGTTTTTAAAAAATAATAATTTTCGAATATTTCTGGATCAAAAAATCGTTTTTTGAATTTAAATTATTTTGCATAATTTATTATTAATTATTTGAAAATTGTTGTAAGAATTCCTTTTTGTTATGGTACTGAACAATTGTTTATTGTTAATTACATATAAATGGTTTTTTGAAATTAAAAGTGGGGTTTTTTTTCTTGAAATTCGGCTCCTAATTAAATTACTTTTTCAAAAAAAATTTTTGCAGCATAAATTGTCAAAAAAATTATTTTTTTTAAATAACCAAAATGGCGTTGCCATTTTAAAAATATTTTTCTTTTACAGTAATTATACGTTCTTATTTTTAAGACCCTAAGGCACCCTTTTGTTAAAAACAAATTTTAATTTTTTGAAAAACCTCAAAATTTTAAACTTTTTCTTTAATTTACACGAATTTAAAAGAATTTCTTTAAAATTAATCAGATTAATTCTTTGTTTTAGAGTTTTTATGAAAGTTTTTCATTAGGAATATAATGTAATTTCTATTTTGTCGTCACGCCTATTTTACTTTAGTCTATGAAGGCTTATTGAATTTTTAAATTAATATTGCAATTGATTTTAAAAAAAAATTTTTTCTTAAATTTTGCCCTGTGTTTTAATGCTTATGTGCGATGGAATTTGTAAGAGCTTACGAATGCATGCATTTAGAACTACATTAAAAATTGAGTTATGCAAAATAAATTAAATTAATCCTATATGTGTAGATTTAAAAAAAATTATTTTCTAATATTTTCGTACTTGTTGATTTCAATGAAAAAATAATATTTTTTATTTTTTAATTTGTTAAACTTCTGAATTGTAGGTATATATTTTAAATATATTTTTTTTTTAAAATTTTTCTTATACTTTTTACCTAAAATGTTAATTCAACGAATTATGTAATTATTTTTAAAACTATTTTGATTTGTTCTTTAATTATTGTTTTGAATATTTAATTTACTTAAAGATATACTAATACAAAAAAAGATTCCTGTGTAAACGAGAAATTATATTCTAAAGTTAAAAAAAATAATCTTCGCTCTTTCAATCCAATCCGCTAGTAAAATTATGACTTGTTAGATATCGCTAGTTTTTTCAAACTTATGTTTCCTTTTTTTAATATTTTATTCACGTAGGAGATGTTTTAAAATTTTTTTCATTTTATCATTTATATGTTTGTGTTAATATTAATTGTTCCACGTTTTTGTGCTAAACGTTCTTTTTATCTACAATCATTCACGAGAATTTTCAGCTTTATTTAACTGGATAAATATACTGGTGAATAAATATTTTATTTAAATAAAAATTATAAGAAATAGTTTTCTGATTATGTGCATTTTCAAATTTTATTTAATTAGAAAAGTTACTTATTTAATTTTTACTAATTATTTGAAATTTTTAATTTAATGTTAGGATTTTCTGCCGACCAGTCACAAAGCTAAAGCGAAACCTGTAGGAAGCATAATATCAACAAATGCCGATTCTGAAGAAGGAAAAGCAGATGGTGTTAATTCGAGGAAAGAAATACTAGAGAAAAACAATGATGATGATCATTCAGTCAATAGGAATTCTCAAATCACGTGAGTATTTTTAAAAATATTAATTGAGTTATGTTTTTTAGAAACTATTTCAATTTTTACTGAAACATTAGATTTTACTAGAAAATAATTAAAAATTTTAAAAAATTGTTCAATTTTTTCCATTATTTCGAACAATAATTACTTACGAATTTCATATGAGTAAGCTCGAAAATTAATTTATTAAAATTTTCATTCAACAGAATTTCATTAGTTAGAATTTATTTTTAGCTAAATTTTTATTTCTTCGAATTGTTATTTAATAGAATTTATATTTGAGGTGTTGAATTAAAAATTATCGACATATTTTTTATTCAGTCGTTTGCAATTTCGGACAAATGAAGATTCGATGTTTTAGGAATTCTATCAAATAATAATTTGTGCAAATTAAAATTCGAACAAATGAAGATTCGGTGACTTATTGGCATTTCTGACATTTAAAAATTCGAATCACTTCAAATTTTATTGAATAAGAATTATGCTAAATTAGAATTCGATTAAATTAGAGTTCTTTTAAATAAAAAGTTTGATAAAGTGAAATATGTAAAATAAAAATTTGATACTTAAGAATGAATGTACCTAAGCAATGATTTTTATGGAACAATCATGCGCATCAAACTTATTGAAATTTTTGAGGTGTCGAATTGAAAATTATCGAATTTATATTTAACAGAATTTTATGAAAAAGATTAAAACTCAATGGAATTTTTTTATCGCAAAATTTTTATTTAGCCAATATTTGTAAAGTAGATTCTTTAATTCAGCAAATTTTCATTCATCGCATTTTTTGTTTAATAGAATTTATATTTATCCAAATTTCAACAAAGAGAACATTAATTTAACAAAGTTGTTTCTCAATATATTTTCTATGTATCCAAATATTCACTTAACAGTATTTTATTTAATTGAATTAATTTTTAACCGAATTTCTACTAAATAGAACTCTTATTTAACCGATTTTTCATTCAAAGAATTGATTATTTAACAGAATATCTAAATAGGCCAATTTACAAATGGTAAAATTTTTTTTTCATTGAAGCTCCATTTGATCGAATTGTCATTTTAAGGAATTTTTAAATCGTTCAATTTTCAGTTCACCGAAATTGCAAATGGCTAAACAAACAATCGACAGAATGATTTAGTCGCAAATTTTAAAGTTGACCAATAAGAAAATATCAAGAAAATCGTGATTGGTCAATTTTTAAATTCGCGCCGAAATTTTTCTGTCAGTTGTTTGTTCGTCCATTTGCAGTTCCAATCAAATGAAAAATTCGAAATGAGAATTGTATTACATATAATTTCTATTGGATGTCAGTTCAGTAAAATGAAAATACTTTTGAACAAATATTTGGATAAGTTGTAATTCGATTGAAGAAAAATTGTGTTAAATGAAAATTGTGTTAAGTAATGTCACCACCCTTATTTTAAGACCTTTAAATTTTGTTAGAACTGAAATTGAATTGAGCAGCGTAAAGAAATTACAAAAGATACATGGACATCACCAGTGATTGACAGATTGAAAAATTATGAACTATTTACGACTTTAAAGATGTCGCTTTTAAAATATGAAAATAGGTGACTCGCACGAAATTTGTAAATAGGATTCTAACAAATTTTAATGATGTCAGGAAGTTAACTTTTTTCTTACATCATTTGAGTCCTGAAAACATACAAGATGGTCAAAAAATCAAAATTTTTATTTTTCACCATTATAGAATTTTTATTCTTTAAAAAAATTAAAATTTTAGAAAATCCATATGAGAAATTCTGAAAAATCATTAAAAAAGTGTGGAAAAAATTTAAATTGTGAAAGAAGATAAATATGTGAAATATTAATTTTTTAATTTCTAAAAAGGTCAAAAATTAAAATTTGATATTTTGAGCATCCATATTGACATTGAAATTGAATTATTGTTACATAATTATTTGACATTTTAAACAAACAAACTTAACCCTCTGCCTGGCCAGTTGACCGTTATCGACAAAAAGCGACAATTCGGTCGCCTGGTGGGGACTATGGGAAATAAATTCTATAGCGTTAGAGTGGGGATAACCCAGGACAGGGAGAGGGTTAATGAACGCAAATAATTATTCCAATGATTGTGGTGATTATTTAATTGAAACTACTCACAATATCCTTGATACAATATTCAGTTTTCAATCCATATCCATAGAATAGTTTTTTACACCGTCCTGATCAGGATTATCACATACACATAAAATATAATATTTTATCTAACCAATGATATATTTGTCGACGGAACTTGTTGAGAGCACGGAACAAGAGTGAACACGCCGGTTTTACCGGCATGTCGTGAAAATTATCACGTGATGTTAAACACGGCAATGTCACAACTACACAGAAAAAACTGTACTCATTTTTGCTGCTTATCATTTTGAGTAAATTATCAAAATGAGTAAACGGCAAACTTCACGTTACTCAAAATGAAACTGGTTAGTATCAAATGTCAGGTTATGCTAGATAAAATTGTTTACCACTATTATGTTGGTACTAACTGTGAACTATTTCATAGTGCACCATCTGAGGATGAAAGAACAAAGTAATTCAAACGTAATAAACCAAAATTATAAAATACAACTTATGTCTCTAAAATTTTTTATAAATATTAAATAAAAAAAAATTATTAGCATTGCAGTTAAAGTTAAAATATTCAAAATATTATTAAAGTTTTTATTTTCTATCGAAAAAAAAATTTTATCACATTATTATTAAAGTTGTTCATAATAATAATAATAATAATAATTATTATTCATATTATAATATTATATTAATAATATTAATAATTATGAGTTAATTTAATTATATAATAATATAAATTTATTTTTATTTTAAATATATTATACATAAGAATTTTTAAATAATAAAAACTCAATTTTATAATATTAGAATATTTTAAAATAATTATTTCGTTTATTACAAAAAAAGCAAAGCTTTTCGTCCATTAATTTTTTTCAAATAAAAAAAAGAACAACTTCTACTAAAAATTATAGATCCAAAGAAAAACTACATCAATCACATATATTTAATTTATAATTTTTTATTAGTTTATTAATCACAAAACAGTGATTTTAAGAATTAAAATTTATTTGTTAAAATTTTTAAAGATAAATTTTTTTTATTTATTAATTAATGTGAAAAAAATTTAACACAATATCATTTTGTTTCGTAAACAATATTTTACTTTTAAATTTTTTAAATAAGGCGCCATTACCTTTAGTTTTTAGACAATAGCGCTTTCTTTCTCTACTTCATTTTAACGCAGTTGGTATTACTGCCTGTCGTTTCATATGTTTCTTAACCTAAAACTTGATTTATTTTATTTTATAAATAATAATAAATTGACTTTAAGAATTAAAGTCTTTTTAGTTTAAAAGTGTTTATTTATGAAAAACAATTGTTTTAGTACTATTTTAAATGAAATAATCATTTGTTATTTATCTATAATTCATAGTTAAACATTTACTCAAAATGAAACTGACGTTGTTCATTTTGATATTTTTTCACTGAAAACTCAAAATGAATAAGAGCGTTATCATTTTTGCTGCATATCAAAATGAGTATGATTTCGTACTCATTTTGAGTACAGTTTTTTCTGTGTAGGGCCGGGCACACAATACAATACAATACTTGCGGACCATGCAAAATGTACATCTGCTACCTGCAGTGTGCTTAAATATCTTTATGACATTAATAATAATAATAATAATAATAATCAATCCTTACTACACGGAGAGAAAAATCTGCCTTTTATAGTATGAAATAGATTGCTGCTATTTTTCTTTAAACTTTTCATACTAATAGAGCAAAGATTTGAGAATTTTTAGCATGAAACTTGTCTATGCTAATAAAGTTTGTCATATAGCCTCTTATTACATACTTATTATACTTTTAATCCAACGGCGCCATGCGAAGATCGCACATAACATCATCCTACTATTTTTGCATAAGTTCTATGCTTTTTCGGGGATAGACTCTTGCAACTGGCGATTAGGGCAGTTCCAATTAAGTAAAGGTGGGCGTGGCCTAATCGCCAGTTGCAAGAGTCTATCCCCGAAAAAGCATAGAACTTATGCAAACATAGTAGGATGATGTTATGTGCGATCTTCGCATGGCGCCGTTGGATTAAAAGTATAATAAGTATGTAATAAGAGGCTATATGACAAACTTTATTAGCATAGACAAGTTTCATGCTAAAAAGACATACGATTGTACTATAATTACTCAAATTTCATGCCTATATAGCATAGAAAATTTCTGTGCATTAAATGTAAACCTTTCTATACTATAAAAGGCAGATTTTTCTCTCCGTGTATGAAAAGAGTAGTTATGCAAATTAGGCAAGAGCAAGACATTCTTATGTTATTTTCATGAACAGAAGAGAGAAGATAATTGCGTTAAATTTTTAGACGAAAAGGGTCTTATGCAATTTTCCTTAGACAGAAGAGGAAAAAAGGTTTCAAACAAAGATATTCTTATGTTATTTCCTTGTGATAGATAAAGAAAGAAAAGCGTTAAATTTTTGCGTTAGATGACAGAGAGTATCTTATGTTGTTTTTCTTAAAATAGAGTGAGGTAGGCAATCCTATTTATTGCGTAGGGGAGCCCACGATGTTAAATGGGGATTTACTCGAGCGTCGATGGGATGAAGATATTTTGTAGTTTAGATGATTAGGAAAATAAAAAGTTCTATAAAGTTTTCCCTTTTAGTGGTGGAGGGAGCGTCTATAAATTTTTTAAAATGCAAAAAAAAACAATTACATGGAATATATATGTATGTTCATCTGACGGTTTGCCTGGTTCTGTTGGCTCTCCGGATGGATACAAAGTAGAAAAAAAAATTTTTTTTCGAGCGCGTCAGATATTTAGGGAAGATGTTAAATTAACCTTAAAAATGCTCTTATTCAAAAGACTGACGTTTCGGAAGTGACGCAAGCTCGTAGCGAATTTTTTAAAATGCAAAAAAAAATCGCTATCTTGAAATAGTCGAGCGTGTCAGATTTATAAACAGATGGTTCATCTGGATGCTGCAGTCATGATAACCCTAAATCTGACGATTATTTTGAGGAATATTGTTAATCTGCCAGCTGTTTTGTGATCAGCTGTAATGGTGTCATGGTGACGGAGAGCAGTGTCAGAAATCGAGATGGTGCGAGAGAGTTAGAAATAGGAAAAAAGTTGAAAGGGAAGATGAGGCACGGAATGGGGAATGCGTGTTGTACTCGAGATGCGCGCGCTAATCTCCATAGACGATTTTCATTACTTCGGCTTCTGGAAATCGTCAGATTATATTTTATTCGTGATTCTTATGTTATTTCCTTCAAATTAACAAAATTTAACCGCGCTCGGGAATGTCAAGACAACGTTTTTTTGCAAATTTACAACCCTCCCACTCCCTTACGTTACGCTCAAATTGTCAGATTTTTTAAATGTACACTTTTTAGTCAGTAATTAACCCACCTTCCTTTAATCTGACGCGCTTCGATATTTCCGACGATCGATTTTTTTACTAATCTGATGGGCTGTCCTAGACGCACGTCTTGATAAAAAGAGTTAATACTTGGAAGAGGTACTCAACAACATGCAAGGTACCTCTCCCTGTGTTTATCTGCCGCGCTCGAGTTAATCCTAAAAAACACATTGGGCTCCCCTACTATACCTGAGTAATGAGAGAGAGACTTCGGCTTTCCCTCTTGTGATTGTTCCGCAATACCTGAGTTTTTGGGTGTCGACTGTCATGAAAAAGGGTCTATTGTTTTCTAGAACTTTATTGAAGCTTGATCTAAAAATTTTAATTTTTAATTTTTATATTAACGTATGGTTAACTGAGTAAAGAAATAAAAAATAAAATTTTTATGTTAGAAATAAAAAATTTATTTAATTCTTTAAGGTGCAAATTAACTATCGTAATAATAATTCCTCATCATATATCATTTTTAAAGTTTTTGGGATGCTGATTACGAATATAATGTCCGTTTTTAAAAATCCAAAATGGTGGATTTAATATGGCGGCCCAAAATTTAAAAATTCATCGGATTCGTTTAAAAGAGTTTCCAGAGGGGTTTTCAGGGTCGCTGATTACGAATGTCATGTCTGTTTTTGCAAATTCAAAATGGCGGGTGAAATTTAATAAAATCACCAAAGCATTTTGAATCTCATTACATTACTCAGGGGTTTTCGATAACGCTGATTATGAATATAATATCAGATTAGGGAAGGTGTATAGATAAGTTGTAATAGATGGTATGGACTATTTCATTCATAATAGTAGTTCAAGATGAATAAATGGACGCGCGTAGCGCGTAAAAATTAGTTCTAGTAGAAACTTAATAAAGTTGTCAATTTTTTTTTATTTTTAATACTGACATAAAATAAAATTGCATTTTGTAATTTTTTTCAGAAATGGTACTAAAGCAAAACAAGAATCGAATCCTTTTGAAGAAGAGGAATGGGATGAAGAAGCAGGGGAAACATTAGTAGATAATGGAGAACCAGGGGTACCTGTACGAGCACTTTATGATTATGAGGGTGCAGAAGCAGACGAACTCAGCTTTAAACAAGGTATTTTAAAAAATTTATCTTCACTTTTGTTATTTATTTATTTATTTCAACACGCGATCCAATTAGACCATAAATGGGCAACTACAATACATAATATTCTGGTTGGTTTTGTTTATTGGCCTGTTGTCCCCTAAGGTTATGAACCCATGACATAATTTTCTTTTTAATACTTCTGAGTTGCCCAGATCTTTCTGATTTGTCTATATTGTGTCCAATAAGAATTCTTGCTTTCTTTTATATTTAAGCGTAGTATCAAGTTTTGAATTATTTCTCTTTGTTAAAGTGAATTTCATAGATAATAATTATAATTATCTTTCCATATTAGTCAGTTATTTCTTACTTTGCTGGATGTGAATTAGGTTAGATTTAGATATGTTAGGTTAAGATAGAAAATTTATATCAGATTAAATTATGTTAATTTTAAATTTTCTAGTTCTATGTTATTTTATTTAATTAAATAATATAATTGTTTAATTAAAAAAGGATTTTTATTTTACATTGGATATATTTCTTTGTGGAAGAAGAAAAAAGAGATGGAATATAAATTAGAAGGGATGTAAGATTGTTGTCAACAACTGATATAATCACACTTTGTTATTTTTTGCATCCTCTATGACCTTATCTTATTTTGTGTAAGCTTGGCGAAAGTTTGCTATTTGAATTCACAAATTATTAATATGAATTAAACTTCTTACTTTCGTTAAACAATTACACAATTCCTTTAAAGATGCTGTCCGCGCAGAGATGCATTACTTTACGTATCGTCTCTGCTTATTAGACAGTATCTACGAGCGCTGTGCAGGTCCTTGCAAGTGTCCCGCCAGCAGATCTTTTGGCGCTTGAGAGGGAAGAAAAGCAGCGCTTTAAGAAGAGAGAGAGTGAGGAGTGTGCTTACTGCCAGTTCCCTGTGGACAACGCAGAGCACACCCTCTTTGCCTGCAGTAGATGGGACTTGGAGAGGCAGGCCATGTTCACCGGTGTTAACGCTACAGTTACACCGGAGAATATGGTAGCGCTGATGATCCAGTCCCTGGATTGATGATTTCATCAAATCATTTTTTTGGTGTGCTGTTAATTCCGCTTTGACATTGATTTTCGTTTTATTTTTAAAATTGATAACGCAGGACGTCCGCAGGACTAGGCGAAGTAGCTTCACGACAGAGTAGGAGCGTCACCTTTAAAGGCAAAAGTCTTCACGACAGTACTGAGGGTGGATAAAGGGCTCCCAAGAAGGGTTGACGGGTTTTAGTGGGTCGGAGCTGGTAGTAGTTCGCCAGCTTATTTTGTTTAGTGTTCTCCTTTTTTTTACCAACCCCACATAACCTTGACATGCGGAAGCCAAGGTATCTGTATACAGATTTCCCAAAAGTCCCTAAGCAAAAAAAAATTATTTTAAGTATTAATGTCAATATATCTCAATAATTTTAAGTTTTTATTTATTTTAACTTGATAATCATTTCAATTGAAGCACATTAGAACAGTTTTCTTAAAACATAACACATTTTGAAAAATGGTTGATGAAGCTTAAAATGCGTCCGTCCAGTTCGTATGAAAGCATAATACAGACTCCCCAATACATATTCTTATATTATTCTTTATGGGACTGAGGAAAAAAACACCTTCTATGGGCGGACGAGGTACCCGGGTATCTATGTTTAATTTATTAAAGATTTTATATCAAAATGATCAGTTCCATTAACTTTAAGTGTAGTGGACGTTTCAATGAAAATAGTAATCACATAATATGAATACACTGCAAAAAGAAATCTTATTTTAAGACCGAAAATAGGTCTTATTTTCAGAGGCAACATTTTTAAGGCAGCTTTGCTGAATATACGGAATGCAATTTCCATTAAAACTACTAGCGCTGATTTTAAGACTCATCTTAAAACAAGATTTTTTTTGCTATTATCTATTATCATTATTAGGTGATTATTAAAAAACTGTCCATTACATATTAATTATTTTGTATATATTCACAATTTCATTGATCTTTCATTAAATAGTATCCGTGTATATACTATTTGTTAGATTGCAAAACAGGTACATATTTAGGCAGATTATTTATGAAATCAAATAAAAAAATGTAAGAAATTTATTTTTTATTATTTAAAATACATTTTTAATACAAATTAATTCTATTCAAACTTCACTTTTATGGTAACTATTAAGTTAAAAACTGATGATTTCTTATGAATATTATTATTTAACTATACTAACTAAATTACATATTTTATAAAAAATATTATGTGCATTACTATAAAAATTATTAAAAATTGTTTAATGTAATTTTTCATAATTTTTTAATAGAAATTTCTACATTTATCTGCATGAAATGTATGGAGATACCCGGGTACCTCGTCTGCCTTTTAAGGGTGAAAAAACTTTATTTATTATTTCTGAGTAAATAAATAAAAAAGGTACATTATAAATAATATTTAAAAACTTTGTATGGATAAATTTGAGATGTCAAAAAACCTTAGGTCGATACGATTTTAAAAATTATGAAAAACATCAATTTGAAAATGCAAAAGATGCCCGGGTACCTCGTCAGTCCTATAAAGATTATAAATTTTTACATTCTAGAACAAGTAGAATAACCAGAAAGGGGAAAAAAAGGAAAACAAAAATTAATACAATGTGTTTAAGTGTGAGTTTAAGGCCCTAGTAAAGTCGCATTATGTTCTGACGAGTTGTGTTTTCTTTTTTTTTTTAACATAGCCGTTTTAATATTAATATCATTGATATCTTTTGAAAAACAAGAGATCTTGTTTACATTTATTCTTCCAGTTTCGAATAGGTCTAGTATATGAGGGGCTGATAGTAAAAATGGTTTAAAATAACATTGGGAGCAAAAGTGGGATAAGTGACTTGGGAGCAAAAACGGGTTAAAATGATTCGTGTAATTTATTGATAAATTCATTATATTATCGATTAAAAAATATTAACAATAGGAAAAAATGCATATTTTATTATAATTAATATTTTTTAATCGATAATATAATGAATTTATCAATAAATTACACGAATCATTTTAACCCGTTTTTGCTCCCAAGTCACTTATCCCACTTTTGCTCCCAATGTTATTTTAAATCATTTTTACTATCAGCCTCTCATATGTAATATATGTAGCTATCTGTAATATTTTGGATATCAGATCCTACGATGATTGCTAATGGTGAAAGATTTAATTTATGTTGCACGGCTCGGTTCAGTAATCTGTCAATCTGCGTTTGACAGGCATCAATAGCCTATATAAAATAAATTCATTACTTTAATTTAAGAATAACCGAAGAATGTGTTTAAAAAATTAACATTATTTACCTTAATTTACCTTAATACCCCTTTCGCGATCGGGATACCTGTCCACGAAATCATCCTCAAACTAAAAATAAATTTATTAAGGGGGGAACACCAGTTGTAACTCAAGAAATAATGCTTTTTACAAGAATATTTTCCAAAAGAACAATGAATCTTTTTAAAGAATACTATTTATTAGTTAAAAGTACATGTTAAAAGCTGTAATTTAAAAGTAAAAAAAATTTTTTTTAACAAAAACTTTTAGAGATATGAGCCATTGAAGTGGCGCCTTAAGAAAAAAGGCGAATTGCGGTGACCAGCATTCTGCAAGTATACTTCGTCTGAAATACAAAAATGAAATTGATTTACATTTATTATAAGATTATCTAGTTCGTGATCGAAGGATTTAAAAAAAAAAAAAAATTTGACAAAATGGCGACCTGTCAAAGTCAAAAGTATGATTTTCGTTAAAAAAATACGGTCGATTTTCAGCTATATAAAAAAAAGTTTTGCATAAAAAAAAATCCTTCGATCACGAACTAGACTTATATGTGTAAATGAAGCACACTAAATTTTAAATAAATCGGTTTAATGGTATTCGAGTAATCGTGGTCACCGACTTGGAAAATTACATTTTGAGAAAAACGCATTCAAAGTTTTAACTTACTTTTTTTTGTTCAGAAGAAATTTTGTTTCCAATTTACAAAGAGTCATCGATTCCTGGACCATATAATAACTCTTCCGCAGTGGTTGCCGTTTCTAAATCATAGGAAAAGGCCATCTGTCGTTAGGGTCAGGTATGGCTGGCCACCTTGTCTGAAGCCACGGGACGCGCCGCTGCAGTGTTCTGTATATCTCATTTATTTTTCACCGGATCAAGTTTAAAATTTACAGACACATTTCTAAATATGTATACTTTAAGAAAATGCAAAAAAAAAAATCGATTTTTCGAAAGTTACAACTGGTGTTCCCCCCTTAAACAAATATAAGAATTTAGAAGTTATATTAGAATTTAGATTTATTTCCTAAAAACATATTACAAAAAATATTAAAATTATTAATATTAATTATTAAAAATATTTAATACCAAAAAATAACCTCCTGGCTGTCTTAAAAAAGGGTATTTCAAAAAATTATTATTTAATAAACATGTCCCGGATCTTCTAATCAAAGTGGTGCATTGAATTTTCTCGTTCATTAACTTTTAATATCTAGCTTTTACCGTATCCCTTCACTTTTGTTTTAAATTATCATTTATTTCTAACTGACCCTCTAGCCAAAGAAGAAGCGCACTTGTAGACTTAGGCGCATTTAAGAAAAGCATAAGCGTTTTTGTAAGTGACAAAAAATAATTTTGATATATAAAATATATATTAACGGTAGTCACCTGATACCAATAATTTTTCAATATTTTATGATATTGAAAAATTTATTATATATTGAGACGGAATAATTTGTTATTAAGAGAAATATATTAAAATAAGAATAAATGATCGAATTTAAAATTATTCCTCACCCAGCGCGACCGGGTTCAGAGTTGCTGGGGCTCTATTTGACAATATAAAATAAAATAGATTTTAATTGCACGCGGACGCCAGTTAATTTATTAATTAAAATTAACAAAAGACTTAGATCACAGGGAGGGAAGTTGGTGAACCCAAATACAAAATATAAAAATAAAATATTAAGCGACTTCCAGG